CTATGCCTGGTGTTGCCCCCTAATTTTACAAAAAATTGCATAAAACTATTAAGATGAGATTTATTATAGATACCCATCACTTTTATTTTTAAAAAAATGTCGAAAAAAATTTCCCACATATTGGGTTTGCTAAATTACCCGAAAATCGGGGAAAATTTGTAGCCTATATAATTCTTCTTATCTTTTCTCCATAGAAGTCAACATGCTGTAAGGAATAAAATAGTACTTCAAAAATGAGTTTTAAAACGTCCCTAAACTTGTCATCGGGAATAAAGTACCCTAACTCGGCAGCCATCTTGAATGATTCCTTTTTAAATAGTTTTAACATATACATCTTCAGGTGAGAAAAATTTCGTCCATACATTGTACAGAGCCAAGGTAACTCCTTCTAGTTGTTCCTAAGTACTGTTTACAATGGAAATCGATGTATGGTGTTGCCAGCTCATTTTGACAAAAACCGCCTAAGACCCCTTGGGGATTATTTTTGACAGCTCGTCATCATTGTTTGGTCTAAAATGATGAAACAAAAAATCCCACGTTTTTTTACTTCTCTCTGATATTACCCTAAAATCGGGGAAAATTTTTAGACCAGGTAGTGCTTCGTACCGACTGCTGCTGTGACGATGGGTACCTGAAAACTGAATTTATAAAAGTACCTTAACTCGGCCGCCATGGATTTTTACTTCTTAATACTTTTGACGTATTCACCCTAATAACAGAAACATTTCGTCCATACATTATGTAGAGTCTCGGTGACTTCTTCTTGTACTATTCCCTAAGAAAACTGATCTAAGGTGTTGCCAAATAATTCTGACAAAAACCACGAAAAACCAATAAGGGGATGATTTTTGACAGATATCCATCATTATTTTGTTTGAAATATCGAAAAAAAAATCCCACATTTTGGACTTGTCTTCTAAATTACCCCAAAATCGGGGAAAATTTTCATACCATTTTTCCTTTTTCGTCCATATATTGTACAGAGACACGGTCCTTCTAGTGGGTCCTTAGTAAATATTACTTTTTACGAAAATCGATGCATGGTGTTGCCACCTAATTTTACAAAAAATCGCATATAACTATTAAGATGATATTTATTATAGATCTCCGTTGCTCTTATATATAGTTTGTCGAAAAAAAAATCCCACATTTTGGGTTTGCAAAATTACCCAAAAAACGGGGAACATTTGTAACCTAGGTAATATTTCGAACCGAAATCTACCACGGCTCAATAAAGGTCGACTCGCTGCAGGGAAGCCAGGTAAATTTATCATCAGAGATAAAATACTCAAACTCGGCCGCCACCTTAGATTTTTCCTTTTTTAAATACTTTTAACTTATCCACTTTGGTGACAGAAACATTTTGTCCATACATTGTACAGATGTAAGGTGACTCCTTCTAGTAGTTCCTTAGTACTGTTTACTATGAAAATTAGTTAATACTTCGCACCGAGAGTTTCCATTCCTCAATAGAAGTCAGTTCGCTGCAGGGTTGATAGGTGCCACAAAACTGAATTTACTAAAAAGACCTTAAAATTGTCATAATAAATAAAGTATCCTAATTCGGCCGCCATCTTGGATTTTTCCTTTTTAAATACTTTTAACACATACATTTTGGTGACAGAAACACTTCATATATACATTGTACAGAGCCCAGGTTACACCTCTAGTTCCTTAGTACGGTTTACTATGAAAATCGATGTATGGTGCTGCCAGATGATTTTGACAAAAACCACCTAGGACCCTTTGGGGGATGATTTTGGACCCATGCTCATAACTGTTTTGTTCAACTTAATGAAAAAAAAATTTCCCACGTTTTTTTACTTTTCTCCGAAATTACACCAAAATCGCGGAAAATTTTTAGACCAGGTAAAATTTTCCACCGAGAGTTTCCATTGCTCTATAGAAGTCAACTCGCTGCAGGGATAAATGGTACCCCAAAATTGAATTTTAAAAAGTCCCTAAAAATGTCAACATAAATTAAGTACCCCAACTCGGCCGCCATCTTAGATTTTTACTTTTTAATACTTTTGACATATTCACCCTAGTGACAGAAACATTTCGTTCATACATTGTACAGAGCCTCGGTGACTCCTTCTAGTACTATTCTCTAAGAAAACTGATGTAAGGTGTTGCCAGATAATTCTGACAAAAACCACCTAAAATCAATAGGGGGATTGTTTTTGACAGATTTTCATCATTCTTTTGTTTGAAATATCCAAAAATTATTGTCCCACTTTTTAGGACTTATCTCAAAAATTACCCTAAAATTGGGGAAATTTTTTATAGCAGGTAATACGTTCTGTTGAGACACATCATCTCTCCATAGAAGTCGACTGGCTGTGGAGTTGGCAAGTGTCCTAAAACTACATTTAAAAATATCCCAAATTTTCTCCGAAAAGCAAAACTCCCCTATCTCTGCCGCCATTTTGGATTTTTACTTCTTAATACTTTTGACGTATTCACCCTAGTAGCAGAAACATTTCGTCCATACATTATGTAGAGCTTCGGTGACTTCTTGTACTATTCCCTAAGAAAACTGATCTGAGGTGTTGCCAGATAATTCTGACAAAACCACCAAAAACCCTTAAGGGGATGACTTTTGACAGATTTTCATCATTCTTTTGTTTGAAATGTCGAAAAAAAATTTTCCCACTTTTTAGGACCTGTCTCAAAAAATACCCCAAAATCAGGGAAAATTTTCATACCAGGTAATACTTTGTGTCAAGAGACATCATCTCTCCATAGAAGTCGACTCGCTGCGGGGTTGCCATGTGTCCAAAAACAACATTTAAAAATGTCCCAAATTTTATCCGAAAAGCAAAACTCCCCTATCTGTGCCGCCATCTTGGATTTCTAAAATTTCATAATTTTCCCTAGATGCCGGGTCCTTCGGCTATCCGACGCCGCACAGTGCGTTGACCTAGCACACTCGTAGGTACCCTATCAATTTCAGTTTTTAAAGCTAGACCTCAATTTCAAAACTTGTCCCATGATGTATGGGTGTTGCCAGCAAATTCTGACAAAATTCCCCTAAAACCCTTCAGGGGACGATTTTTGGTAGACCAACAAGACTTTTTCATTTAAAATGTCGAAAAAAATTTTTCCCACTTTATGGGACTTTTCTCCAAATTTAACCCAAAATCGGGGAAATTTTTTGGGCTTTATAAACCTCTCTACTGAGAGTTATCCAAGTCCGTAGGAAGAGACAAGCTTCGGGGTTGCCATGTGCAGCAAAAACGCGATTGAAAATATCCCAAAATTTTTCCAAAAACTTAAATATCCCATAGCTTGGCCGCAATCTTGGATTTCTGAAATTTCATAATTTTCCCTAGAGGCCGGGTCTTTCAGCCTCCCAAAGCCCTACAATACGGATCGGTAGTATCCCCGCAAGTACCCTAGGAATTTCAGTTTTTAGAGAGACACCCCAATTTCTATTTTGGTCAAACCATGTATGGGTGTTGCCAGCAAATTCCAACAAAACCCACCTAAAACCCTTTAGGGGATGTTTCTCGATAGGCCTTGATGCCTCTTTTGTCAAAAATGTCGAAAAAATTTTTTCCCACTTTTTGGACCATTTCTCCCAAATTAGCCCAAATTCGGAAATTCTTTTTATCGCTGGCAATACTTCTTACCGAGACCCATCATCGCCCCATAGAAGCCGACTCGCTGCGGGGTTGCCCTGTACCTAAAAATGATTTTGAAAATAATCCGGATTTTTAGGACCAAATTCACACGCCCCCAACTCGTCGGCCATCTTGGATTTTCGAAATTTCATAATTTTCCCTAGAGGTCGGGTCCTTCGAGTTTCCTATGCCCTACAACCGGTGTCGCCAGCACCCCCTCAACTACCCTGGGAATTTCGGTTTTTGAAACCGTAGAAAATTTTCAACCAGTTTTAAGCAATTTTTTCGCCGCCATCTTGGATTTTAATTTTTTGTTTTTACGCCATATTCTGGGTCCCGCCGAGACGTGCCAAATCACTCTTTGAACGGAATCGATCCGAGCGAAACTGTAAAAGTTAGCCGCCATCTTGGATTTTCCCAAATTTCGGAATTTTCTCGTGGTCACCCTAGCCAAAGGAACATTTCCCCCATACATCGTCTCGACCCCCGGACGCTCCTTCTGGGAGAACAACTATGTCAATCAGTGAGTGAGTCACCGTAATGCAGCTTTATATATTATAGAAAATTATAATTGTTTCGTCCCTCGTATTCCAGACTTAGTAATACTGTGTTATATATTCGATTTTCGTTAGAAACTAAAAGTGTATTTAGTAATTTTATGTAGTTTTCTGATTTTGGGTAAAATTTACTAATCATAATTATAACAATGTCATTTGTATCGAGATCAGATGTGTAACTTTTGAAATTTTCTAATATTTTATCAGCACTTGCATGGGGTTTACAAATATTAGTTATATTCAGTTTTCCTGAACATTATAGAGGGTCAAAATAATTGCATCTGAGCTCCTCTACCTAGTCCTGATGGTAAAACGTGGAGTCAGCAGTAACCTTGTATACATGAGTAATATATTAGTTATCTGTGGTAATACCGATGGACAGAAACAAAAGATAGATGCTGACTGTTAAATAGATCATAGATGTCCTATATTTTGTTACGAGTTGTTCTTCCCCTCCCCTGAATGACTGGAACTGAATGGAACATTCTTAGCATCTTAGTACTGCGCTAACCACAGAACACCAATATCCTAACGGAAAGAACGTCAACTCCATACAAAAAAAATGGCATAAAAATTAACGATAGTGTTGACCTCTCACGGTGTCCCCACGGCAACATTCATAGATGATGGCCTAGCGGGAAAACTCAAACATCAATTATAAAATAAAGGAGCCTACTGTATTACAGATATAAATTCAAGCCGTTTATGACTTGAGTTTATATCTGTAATATGGATAATAAATAAGATAATAAGCACGATTAGAATAAAGTGTATATTTATTGTTAGATTTTCATTCAAACAAAATACATCAGTAGTGTGAACAGGTGTACAGAGACATTATGTAATAGGTAACAAATAAATTTTGATTTTTAAATGATTGTAAGGAGCACAATTACACAAATTAAATTATATTATCAAAAGTGTATTATAATAATTAAGAGATATTGTCGGAAGAAACGTCGAATTATATAATTTTTACAAATGTTGTAAAATATTTATTTTTTTCTTAAGAGCATTCATCGACGTTTCTTCCGAAAAAGATCTATTTCTTATTATACAATATCTCTTAATTATTATTAGGATCACACTTTTGATAATATAATTTAAATTTGTGTTTTTATGCTCCATACATTCATTTAAAAAATCAAAATTCATTTTTTCCTTTATTACAGTTATTATATTTTTCATTAATCCTTTTTTATGTGCATTTATTTTTAAATAAGTATTCACTATCGTTGCACAGATTTCCCCACACATTACAAAGTTTTTATTTGCATAATTTAATACTTGCTTTAAATCATTGTATTCTTTAAATGTATTAAAAGTGTGCATTATTGACTGCTCTGTGGTGGTAAAAATTAATTTACAAGCATTGCACTCATGTTTGAATTTTTTAATAATAAACCCACACACATAAGTGCAAGCTTGTATTTCGCCACTACATTCTTCTAAAATGTTTTCATCAATATCATTAAACGCCGATTGGTTAGAAGATATTGGATCAGCCGCAGTGTCGGCAATCTGTTGAGTGTTTCGTACACAAGGCTTCAAAAAAGATTTAAAATTATTAATTATGGTCTCATTTTGGTCCATTTCACAATTACCTCCACCCATCTGGGAAAGATTACTTAAAATAGCAGTTTTTAAGCCTGCTTTAAATTGGCCACTAGTTGGATTGTGATTACTACCACAATTTCCTCTAATACATCCAAATAAATTTTCAAGTGGATCTTGTTGTAATCTTCTAGTGGCCAAACTTTTTATAGTATTGTGTTTCTGTCGTAATACATTCCATAACCTTTCAACTCCATTAAGAGTCCACACCCAACCTTCCTGTGAAGGTGGTTTTCGTGAAGACCCAATAAATGATATGTTTTTAAAAAATAATTTCATTTCATTAATGAAGGTAATGTTTCTCGTAGAACATTTCATATTTGTTGCTAAAGGCTTTCCTCTCCGCAAATCTGCCGTGTCGCTATTTAATGTATCGAAGAGCTTGTCCATTTTTGCGATTACGTTAGCCGTCACGACAGCTTCTGGAGTCAATCCTATAATATGTAACAGAAAAATATCAATTTAATGTTTGACATTTACATAGTATAAAGTAGAATCAAGATTTATTTTCTGTCCAGATGAAAGAGAATAAGGAAAATAAAGTACTATCTTTGGTGAAGCAACACCAAGTAAAGACAATATTTTGTTATTTTTTTCATATATTATTTTGCATTGTGTTTTGAAGGCCTCTGTGGTCTAGTAGATTAGCACTTCGCCTTGCTTTTGATTATCACAAACATAATACAAATCAGTATGACCTACGAGTATGTCTAGCACCCATAAAACAAACAACATGGCTCTGTGTGAATTCTCCTGGGGTTATTGTTATTATTATATCGGGTAAATTAAACAAAGCAAAAAAAAAAAACTAATGTCAATTAACCTAACGGTTTACTTTATGGTAAATGGTAATTGTCATGTATATATGACACCTATCATAGCACTCATGCTTTTCCATTCCAGAAAACTCTTATTCTGCAATTTCAGTGCCAAGTGAAGACATCTTACAAAACAAGTTACATGGCAGCTCAAATAGGTGAGGCGGATATACTCGTGCAGACGCAGACAATATTAAGTCCATTTTTAAATGATAATTTTTAATTCAGAATTTAAACAGAAGTATCAACAATTAAACAAAATTACCTTGAGATATTTTGGCATACATTCCTGCCGCTACTGTATGACTTAAAATTTGTACTGCCAATTTTACTTGCATTTTTTGTTTTGCATGCGAACACAAAATTAGTATTAGAGTTGTCTAGTTCATAAAACTGGACAATATGACTCCACTTTGCTATACCTGAAAAAATATTAGTAAATTATGATTAAAACAGTTTAAAATAAACTACCTTGGTATATTAATCTTAAACATGCATGTACATAGAAATTGAAATTGTTTTAAGTTAATTAGAAAATTTAATTCATAATAATTAACATATAATAAATTATAGTCAAGTCATATACCTGTTCCCTGTTCTCCTTGATCGGATGTTATATCTGTGTTACATTTAATATCATACTTCAAAAATAAATTTCTGAAGCACTTAATTAAATGAGGGATATCAAATAGTGCAACAATTTCCTTGTCATTTAATTTAAAACAAGGGCAATTTGCAGTAGCCCCCAAGATTGATAGGGCTTTTCTGTTTACGCCATCCATATCACACACAGTAGCAGAGATATTAATATTATGCTCTTGACATTGTCCAATAACCTGAAAACAAAACATTACTATTTTAGAAACCTATGCAAAAGATACTATCTAATACATTTTTTTTAAGTGAACTGATTTCTGCATGTTGGTAATAATTCTTAGGTCTTATACATTTGTCCATTATATATAAAAAAATGCAAAGTATAACAATGTGGACTGATGATTTTACAGCAGATGCAACAAAAATTGAAAAAATGAAAATTGCACAAGTTTTTATTTAAAAAAATTCAATATTTATCGATTTTTTATATAATTATCATATAACACTAATTTTTATTAAATTGTGGTTAAATAAAGTAAAATAGTAAATATTGGGTTTACCTCTTTTATTAAAACTGTTAATCTATCAGCACTAACTGTGGAGCTAGATAAATAATAGGCAATTGGTTGTTTAATTTTTCTTCTAATGCCTGCAATCATGAATACTAATGCATGTGTAGCTAGTTGTGAGGATCTGCCTTGCACCCCATGGTCTTGAAAGCCTTCAATTTCATCCTGTTTAACATACTAATAAAGATGCTTTTTTATTGACATTTCATCAAACATGAGAACATACTCATTCACTTCAGGTTCTTGTTTAGAAATGTATTTGTTAATAATTTCAAATAATTGTTGGTTTATGCCAACATTCATTGAACATTTACTTAATAAAACTTTTAAAGTTGTAGGTGCAGGAAGACAAAACATTCTTCTTAATAGTCTATAGCAGGTCGGGGACCTCTTATATAGTCTGAGGGCTATAATTTTGTCTTCAGTAGTCCACCTGCGACCCTTGGCATGTTTTTTAAAATTTTTCAGTTGCGCATGCAACATCAATGAAAATGTGGGACTTATTTTATTTGCCAGTTTCCTAATTCCTTCATCAGAATTAAATTTTTGTAAATATTTATTATTATTCATACATTTTATTTTTTTTTTTAATTGGCAGATTTTTCTCATATATTGTTTGCATTTCATATATGCTCTGTCTTCATTTTTTCTAACTCCACCTGTACTGGCATTTGATGTACCAGGTAAGACTAATGGTCCTTGTATGTTTGAAGGTCCTGATACATTTGAGGATTCAGTAAAAATTTCTCTGCTCATGCAAGTATTTGTTATATCAGATGGACCTGCTCTCGTATCCATATTGACTGACAAAAATGGTAAGGTCACCAGCTGCAAACAAATACAAGTATTTTTTTAGGAATTATATAATATATACTATGCATATAAAAGAGCTGTTCACGGACTATTATGCCATAATTGTCTATAATAGACCCATAGGCCATTATATATATACTATAAAATTTAAGTTTGTTAAGGATAATAATGTTTTTGAAGAAAAACTTAATATTCATAGTGCTGACAATATTACCCGATTGCAATATATAAGAATGAGTACATAGCAGTTTCTATATTGATTATTGCATTCCTTACTTGTTATTGTGTGATTATTTATATAAAAAAAATCTATTAAAAAGAGCAACACACAAGTTTCTTGCTCATTCTTCTTGTGATGAATCTGCATTCCAAAAGAGTGGTAGAATAAAAACTATGAGTATTCAGAAGTGCTTGTATTGAGTTTATATGAATAAGGATTATTTCTATTTCTATAATTAAAAAATAAACATAGGAAAATCCAAATTAACAATTGTGCAACAAATAATAATAAGTTTCATAGTTTTACCAACCTCTACATCTGGAGAAGCAAAACGTCTCAATTTCTTTGATGCAAAATCCACAAAAGCAGATTCTTTAAAATGCCGATGACATAGCATTCTATGTTCTGAATAAAGTTTTGACTGGAAGCTGACTGAAGACCATTGTTTATCTGGACAGCAATATTTAGCCCATAATTCGCAACTGTAATACAAATATGAATCAATTTAGAATAATATGTCTTCACAATCATGGTAGTCAATTAAAACATATTATTTAAACAAACATAATATATTATTACAAACAATAATATTCAATAGCACCTTAGTATACTCTAGTCTTAGTCATTAGACCTAATTTGTTTTTGAAACTTGATAATATTTTGATTTATTTGGTACATTATCTCTACAATCGGAAGTCGCTTTTTCTATCTGTACGCTCATATTTTAATGCAGTTTTTAAGAGGCCTTTCACATTTTTTGGCCTAAAAGCAGGGTCTTTGGGGTTCTGGTTCTAAGAAATTAAGAGTCGGATATACATTTTGATTCCTGAATTATATAGATAGATATCTAATCTTAAAAACTACATCTTTGAAATGTTAATTTTCTCTTTGTTAGTCTTCCTAATTTCTAAAATAGTTTATTCAAAAACGCTAAGAGACAGAAGTTTGGGGTCGTCGTTCATTAATAAACAAACATAAATTGATATGATATCTGTACTAAAACTTGATAATTACTTCATAAATTGAGACAGCATCGTCCTTTTTTTCATTTTCAACTTAAATATCTAAAAAATTTATCATAATTAAACCCGAAATTTCAACAAAACTTTGCCATAATCATTTCTAATTTTCTCATAAATACAACGAAATTTTTGCATAAAAAAAACATAATAATAAAGTTAATATACTTGTAAATTAGAAATATAAAAAAAAATATAAGTTTCTAAGAAAAAAATAAACAATAATAATAATTGAAAGTTGTATAAATTCCGTTGCGCCAAAAGTAAATTCTCAGTGCTGCGCTAGCGCTCGTCGAGGTAGGACCTATGCTATTTTTTACAACACCGCTAAGATAAGACATTCGTCAGTGAACATTAGTATAGAGCGACTAAACCATTTTGATAATTTAAGTAATATTTAATTAATTTTGCTAATATATACTTATTTCTACGAATATTAATTTAAAGTTGTATAATATATATATATATATATATATATATATATATATATATAATATTTATTTTAGCATGCCAAAACAAAAGTACAGTTATGCTACAAATAAAACCTACCTACCCTGCTGCACTATGAAAAGCACAAGAGCATGGTATTTCGTCACACTAATGGCAATTAATTGTTTAAGTATTTTTAACAATAATGCTTATCTGAGAGAAAAATGTAAGAAAATGTAAACCAATTTTACTTTATGTTTATTTTGTAGTTTTTTTCTAAATTAAAATAGGGTTATTGTTTATAAAAATATCATTATTATTTTTACGTACATTTGTCTTGTGTTATATCATCTAGTATGCAATGTGGATTGTAAATAAATTACCAAATTATATATAAATTATATTCCTTAATGTTTAGAGATATTTTATCCAATTTACTTTATTTTATTTTACACAATACAGATATTTCTAAATTGCAGTCATTCTGTTATTATACTCGTTGGACTTTCATTACTGTACAGTTATGTCAAATAATTATGCGTGTTTGGGTGAAAAGTCAACAACATTATAAATGTTTTTATTTAGTGACTAGCTTTTAGCTCGCGGCTTCGCCCGCGTGAATATGGGATATATAGATTATCGCGCGTTTAAAGATCCGTGTACAGTATTGGGTCGTTATATATAAACCTTCCTCTTGAGTCTATCTATTCTGTCTATTAAATAACAACGAATCAAAATCTGCGTAGTTTTTTAAGATCGAAGCATACATAGATCTATTACATGACTGTGTAGATGATATTTTAACCGGAAATTGAAGCCGTTAAAATGGTATTGGCAGATCAGTTGGAATCATCGGTATTCTTGGTATATAAGCTGGTTGCCCAGCTAACGTACCGGTTATAATGGTCTACAATTAAATTGTCTTTCAATTCTTTAGTAAGCAACATATCCAATGGGATGCCATTGCACATGTTCGGCGGGCTTAAATTTCATGATTGGATCATGCTTTTGAGAAATTCCTTCCTCAAGTTTGAGCAGTTACTGTGGGAAATCACTATCTGTGCTTCCATAAAAATGAGCTCTCAAATTTGTCAGTAGTTTTAAACTTTCAATTAAAGTACATAAGGGAGACGATGTTAATGACACAGAGAGTCTTTCAGAAATCTCCAGCAAAAGTATAAAAGTAATCCCGCCAATGAGAGCAGAGGTGTTTCTAAGGTCTTTTAAGGTTCTATCCAAAATCTCTATAGCTCATGGTGATTTCATTACATATAATCAATGAGGCGTCTTGTAATAATTTATAAAAAGGTTTGATATTAACAAGTAATTATTTATCAAGAATCAAGAATTGGCCAACCAAGAACGAGAAGCTGCAATATCAGCCAATATCATGCGGCGACGTCAATGATGCAGGAACAGCAATGATAGCAGTTGAAGCTTTTTTTTTACAACTTAGAATGGCAAACAAGCTGACGGCTCTCCTGATGGAGAGGGGTAACCGTCGCCTATATACATGAGCAGTACCTGACATGTTCATATCAGCATATTGTTTCCCTCATGCGTTGCCATTCCTGAAAACTCGGGTGTTATTCCCCTGTACCTTGTAAATTCACTACCATATATATACACAGGTAGTCTATATAGATAGATATACATATACACAGATAGTATACCCTGAGAAAGGTCATAGACTACTTTATAGTGCGAAAAAAGTATTGGAAGGGATTAAAAGCGGAGATGAAAGGTTGTATAAAAGTATCGTCATTGTTTAAGTGAAACAATGAAACTTTTTTAGGTTATAATCTAAATATATTTCCTTTATTTGGTCAAGTTTATTATACCACGCTGACGAAGTCGCGGATACACCTAATATACATATAAGGATGGGACCTTTAAATCAAAACAAAGCCTTGAAAACACAACTATTATATATCAATAAAATAATTATTTGCTAAGTATAATATTTAGAACAAGTGAATATGGCAATAATGTATCCGACTCTTATAATAAATTATATTGTATCTATTAATAAATAAACTGAATTAATATGTAAGAAGAATTAATTAGTAAATTTATGTTATAGTAATTTCATCTTCTTGTCCTTATCCCAATTATTTGTTACTCATATTACTTAAGGTTTTGGCTTTTAGTTGTACAATCGGCCAGCATCCTGACATCAACCCTCTAGGAATAATATAATAAAAAAATATGGTCATTATTAGCACTTTGACAATTAAGATAAATCACGTTATTTAAAAAAAAGCCAATAAGTAGTTTATGTTACTCAGTTAAGTAGAAACATATTACATTATTAATTAAAATATTACAAGGATCAAAATGGTTCATACTAAATCCACACCGATTGCGCTACACGGTTATTTTCGTCTGTGTGCGTGTATTACTGTATGTGTGCGTAAATCCATGCGATTAAACCTAAAGTTGAGCGGCATCGTTTTGTAATAGCCCTCTTAACAATAGATAGAGTCATTCAAAAGGAAGGCTTCTATATATAATACATGTATATCCATGCGATGCCGGTGCGGGAACTAGTGGGCAATAAATATCTAAGATAAGATTTTATTACAATACAGTATTAGCATTTAAATATGCATGTTAATATTTTTGAGGAGAAATAAATAAAATTATTAATTAACATTTAAAAGGCACTTACCGAGTAACATTTGTAGAGCCAGGTTTTGGAAACCTAAATAATACTGTCTCAGGATTATCGGCAGGCGATGAACCACACTTAAGGCACTTCCTCTTGTTCTCCTTCATTGTAAAACAACGATCCAACTAATTACAAACTTGATAATTTAAACGAAATAACAAGAAAGTCACGAATTATAGTTTATTACCAGGATAAACACAAATTAATTCCTGTATCTAACAATTACGGAGGAATCTATAAAGACTCAACTCAACGTAAGGGTAGAACTGTAAAAGATGGTGAAATATCCAGTAATAAAACAAAAGATGAAAAGTTCAAAAAGAAATTCAAAAAATTATGACGACGTAAGATGGCGGGCATTTTTTTTTTTATTTAATATTTTACGGCTCTGGATACAAGTCCTTTTTAGCCCAACATAAAATACAAAACCTAAAAAAAATTATAATTTCTTCCCAGTGTTAGAAATAAATTTATATAAAATCTTGAATAGTGCAGGCCTTGATAAGATCTCTTCTAGAGACTTCGGTACTTCATTAATATGCTCTTGAATCTCGTGAATGAGTAATAATCTGTCGAGTCCGTATTTTCTACATTTGAATATAATATGATTCAAATCTTCATCTTCATTGCAGTGAGGACATTTTGGGTTGTGAACCATTTTCATTCTGTACAGGTGAGTGCGAGTTTGATTATGACCAAATCTCATACGATTAATAGTCGTGATAAATTGTCTGCTGTCGACGTCTTTATTGTTGTGGTACCAAGGTTTGGCGGGCAGGCTTCCTTGGATCTTGGCATACCATTTTCCCTTATCGTTAGCAATATTTATGTAATAGTTATTCCATAATAATTTTAGAGCATTTTTAAGTGAGCTATAATAGTCGGTGAATGAAACTTTAAACATATTCGAGTGGTCTTCATTATGAACATTCTGAGCAGCTTGATCCGCTATTTCATTTCCAGCAATTCCTTTATGACCAGTGGGCTAATTATGTAACACGATATGAAATTGTTTCTGTTGAAGTTGTGATGCAATATAAAATCATTTCAATTTAAAAAATGCGATCAAGTAAGGTCGAATGACCGCAACATAAATCATTTCTATCGATAAAATACTACTATGAAGTTGCAGCGGAATATTGTTAATCCGACCAATTTAAAAAGTCAGTACATTAGATAGCTTATACCTTTAGAGGGATACATTTTAAATTATTGGGTTAATACACTAGTTGGTTGTTTTGAAACAATTTTTATTGCGTTCAAAAATTACAAAATATACTGCAGCGTTCACTTGTTCTTTTATTTTAATTTTATTAATAGACATTTAATAAAATAAAATAAAGACAGTCTATTCCATTCTAATGAAAAATAAGGTTAATAATTTTGAATATTTTATACAAACTATTTATAATCATTAATAATATTAATCTAACCTACAAATTAAATTTTCTTTTCTGCTATAGATACCTAGGTAAGTACGTAGGTATCCATATAAATTTAGAATGATATGGGCACATCTTTTTAAATTTGTACATAATTGTAAAAACTTTATACAAATAAATTTATTTACTTTAAACAAATCACAGAGCATCATAAACGTTGTATTCCGTTCACAGAGCACCGTATTCATTGAAATAGTTTTTTAATTATATTAATATCATAATCAACCCTAATTTTATATTAAACATTTACTCTAGTTAATACAACATTCTATGTGATTTGGGACGAAAATAAAATATCGAATTGGCAACACTGATGTCATGTTGTGAGTCGTGACAATTTTCCCATTTTAATAAATTTAAAACCTTTTCACGACTTTCTACGTAATATTTAATATAATAAAAATATATGTAATACTGAAAATTACCAAAACAAGATAAATAATGCTGCTAATGCTGATATTTTAAAGATTGTAACCAAAAGAAACACCTTCTAAATTGTTTCTCATAATGTAAAAACCGTTTCAATTCTACGCTGTCATTTCGGCAAAATAGCGATTACGTGACGTTGCAACGAGGTTACTAAATCGACATTCGATAGAAATAATTTTTATCGATACGTAAAGTTGCGTTTACGTTGCAATGCTAGTTGACAGCGTCAAATGGCGTCAATATGATCGCATTATTGACAGATGACGTCATTTTCACTACGTTACATACGAAAATCGTTGCGAACGAAGTTACATAATTAGCCCACAGGTACCCACAAGAATGTTACCTGTGGGCTAATTATGTAACACGATATGAAATTGTTTCTGTTGAAGTTGTGATGCAATATGAAATCATTTCAATTTAAAAAATGCGATCAAGTAAGGTCGAATGACCGCAACATAAATCATTTCTATCGATAAAACATTACTATGAAGTTGCAGCGGAATATTGTTAATCCGACCAATTTAAAAAGTCAGTACATTAGATAGCTTATACCTTTAGAGGGATACATTTTAATTTATTGGGTTGTTACACTAGTTGGTTGATTTGAAACAATTTTTATTGCGTTCAAAAATGACAAAATATACTGCAGCGTTCACTTGTTCTTTTATTTTAATTTTATTAATAGACATTTAATAAAATAAAATAAAGAAAGTCTATTCTATTCTAATGAAAAAATAAGGTTAATAATTTTGAATATAAAAGCATATTTTATACAAACTATTTATAATCATTAATAATATTAATCTAACCTACAAATTAAATTTTCTTTTCTGCTATAGATACCTAGGTAAGTACGTAGGTATCCATATAAATTTAAAATGATATGGGCACATCTTTTTAAATTTGTACATAATTGTAAAAACTTTAAACAAATAAATTTATTTACTTTAAACAAATCACAGAGCATCATAAACGTTGTATTCCGTTCACAGAGCACCGTATTCATTGAAATAGTTTTTTAATTATATTAATATCATAATCAACCCTAATTTTATATTAAACATTTACTCTAGTTAATACAACATTCTATGTGATTTGGGACGAAAATAAAATATCGAATTGGCAACACTGATGTCGTGTTGTGAGTCGTGACAATTTTCCCATTTTAATAAATTTAAAACCTTTTCACGACTTTCTACGTAATATTTAATATAATAAAAATATATGTAATACTGAAAATTACCAAAACAAGATAAATAATGCAGCTAATGCTGATATTTTAAAGATTGTAACCAAAAGAAACACCTTCTAAATTGTTTCTCATAATGTAAAAACCGTTTCAATTCTACGCTGTCATTTCGGCAAAATAGCGATTACGTGACGTTGCAACGAGGTTACTAAATCGACATTCGATAGAAATAATTTTTATCGATATGTAAAGTTGCGTTTACGTTGCAATGCTAGTTGACAGCGTCAAATTTTTTTTTTTTTTGGTTCTGTTTTTCCCTTTTTAGGGAAAGGCAAAAGGATGACAGCGTCAAATGGCGTCTATATGATCGCATTATTGACAGATGACGTCATTTTCACTACGTTACATACGAAAATCGTTGCGAACGAAGTTACATAATTGAAGAGCTGGAACATAACCACAGAAAATAAAGGAAAATGGTATGCAGAATTACAGCCAGACTTACCAGTGACACCTTGGTACAGCAAATTCAAATATTACAATAGAAAATTTATTACTATCATCAATCGTCTACGTTTCGGCCATTGTTTAGTTCCATCCCATCTCAACAGAATTAAAATCACAAATGACAACAGATGCAACCACTGTTTCAAGATAAATGCTGACATAAACCATATTATATTTTTTTTTTTTTTTCTCATGGCTTGGCACTATGGTGCATTTGCCAACAACAAAGTTTGGGAAACTATAGGACTTGGAATAGGATAGTTTTGGATTTTGGTATATGGATCAGAGAAGTTAAGGAGAGATATGAAATAAATGTTTGAAGATTATATGTTTACAATGAATATATACATATAATGATGTTTTATATAAAAAAATAGTTACCAAATGAGATAATGCTTATATTTAAAATATTATGATTAGAGCTTAATATTGTTGCTACTCAGAAATATGGAGATAAAATTATATATTTCTAATTTATCCATGAACAGTAATATTGGAACGGAAGTAGGTAAAGGAATCTGGAGGTAAATGAGGGATTGAAAAAGGATAGAATGATCATATAAAGGACAACTTAAAATAATATGATTCAAGTCACCCACGTCTATACCACAATCGCACACATTACTGTCCACTATTTTTAATTTAGCCAAATGTGAAGGTGAACTCATGTGGCCTAATCTCATCCTTATAAGAGATGTCGTTGCGCGTTTGCTAAGCTTAACACAATAAAACCAAGGTTTGACCGGAATTTTGGGTTGAATATTAAAGTAATGTCGGGCCTTGGTTTGGCAGCTAATAGGCCAAGTCTCATTCCAGGCATCCCGGAGATAAGAGGCAGGCAGAGCCGCCAAATCATGACTATAATTTTTATAAGGAAAAACATCGCCGCACCCAATAGCTTCACTAGCCAATCTATCTGCAGTCACATTCCCTTGAATACCTGAATGACCAGGTATCCAAAAGAAAGAGACTACATATCCTTTCGAAATACACATCTGTAGTAATTTTCTAGCATCAATAATGACGGGATACACTTCATTAGATTTGAACGGAGCTTTTTGTAAAGCCTGTAAAGCACTAATGGAGTCACTAAATATTGCTGATTGTTTAAGTTTCATAGTTAAAATGTAATCTAAGGCTTTAAAGATGCCAAAACATTCTCCTGTAAAAATTGAAGTTTCTGGGGGCAATTTAATTTTTTGAACTATATCAAATTGCTTATGATAAACTCCAACGCCAACACAACCAGAAGGGTTACGCTTAGATGCATCACAAAACACATGGTGGTAATCTTTTTTATTGACATTCATAAAATAGTTAAACATCGCATTTGCATTAGGATCATTTTTAGTAATATTTATATTTAAATGTACATCAGGTATAAGGGTTAATGCTTCATATGGTACACAGAAGAGAGGAAACCTTCTGTAATTACAGGTGGGTGAGTCAAGAGAAGATAACTTTTTAAAACTTTCGACTAAACAAGGACTAGATTTATTTCGCCAATAATGTGCATTCATACAATATTGAGCAAGTATTTGTAGTTTAGGGAGAAGTGGGTGCTTAGAATATTGAGAGATACGGAATAAAAATTTATCTGCGAGGAATTGTCGTCTGAGATTTAGAGCAGGATCACAACATTCAACTTGTAAGGCATTTACTGGGCTGGACTTCATGGCGCCAGTAATTATTCTTAAAGCTTTAGATTGTATAGCATCTAATTTACGTAATCCAGCTCCATTACTTGGGCCTAAAAGAAAAGTACCGTAATCTAAAATGCTTCTAATAATAGCATTATATACAAGTTTCAAAGAATATGGATGGGCACCCCACCATACTCCAGATAAACATCTTAATATATTCAGTGATTTTTCACACTTTAAAGAAACTTGTTCAAAATGCGGAAGTCCAGTAAGTTTTGAGTCTAATAATAAGCCTAAAAATACTGTTTGAGATTTTACCGGAATTAAAATGTTTTTATAATAAATAGAGATTGGTGGCGGTGTCCGCATTCTTGTAAAATGGACAATAGTACTTTTTGTAACGGATAACTCCAAACCATTTAATTGTAACCAAATTCCTAAACGTTCTAATGCTGAAGTTAAAACTGTACACGATTTCTGAACAGAGTTGTCAATGACATAAAACAGTATGTCATCTGCATATTGCAAAATATTTATTTTGTTAGTTGTGTCGGTTACTGAATTTTCTAAGTCATAAGTATATATGTTATATAAAATAGGGCTTAAAACAGAGCCTTGGGGAAGGCCCTTCCAAAGAACTCTGAAGTTTGAATTACAACTAGGATTACTATTTTCAAGATTAATCGACCGTTCTGATAACATATTTATAATGAACTTTGTTAACCTAGGAGGAATATTTAAAGCATTGAGTTTATTTTGAAGCACTGTTATAGAGACATTATCGTAGGCAGCTTTAATATCTAAAAAAGCTGCTATTGTCGATTTATTTTCACTAAATGACAAACGGATATCTGTTGTAAATATACTTAAACTATCAAGTGTACTCATTCCTTTTCTAAAACCATATTGACTACTAGATAGCAAATTGTTATGCTCTACAAACCATTCTAATCGGTTTTTTACTAAATGTTCTGTCAGTTTTATTAAGACAGATGACAGAGCTATTGGACGGTAAGATGCTGGATCAGATAAAGGTTTCCCTGTTTTAAGAATGGGTATGATTTGCTGTAATTTCCATGACTTTGGAATGTTACCAGTATCTACTACAGTATTGATGAGTTTTAGATAATAGTTAAGAGAGCTATCATCAAGATGCTTAATAAAGGAATATGGTATCCCATCATTACCAGGGGTGGAATCCCTAACCTTAGATAGTATACTTTTCAATTCATCAAGGCTAAAGGGTAATTCAAGCGGTTCAAGAGTCATATTACTTAACTGAGGTGGATCAGGGTAAACCAAATACAGATCTTCTGAAACAAATGCAGGGGCTAGCCTGTCTAAAAATGATTCTACAAGACTGGGCATAAGAGAATTAGGTCTAGAAACATTAAAAGCATGTCTAAACCGTCTTATGTTACTCCAAACTTGAGATATATTAGTGTTGGGGGAAATGGATGAGCAGAAATGTTTCCATCCTGCAATCTTTTTCTCTCTTAACAGTTTTTTAGTATTTCTTAAAATTTCTGAATATTTGTTAAAGTTATCCCATGAAGAATAAAAGTTGTATGATTTTTCTGCCTCTTTTCTTTTTTTAATTGCCAGTGTACATTCATTATCCCACCAAGGTGGTGATGGAATCCGTCCCCTGCTATTGCCTTTTTTTGGAAAAAAAACATCTGCTGCCTCTAATAATAGTGTTGCAAAGGCATCAGAACACTCATTTTCATTCCCTACTGATATTAATGGAAGTGTACATATTTTGTGTGTGATAAAATTAAGGAACATATCCCAATCAGCATTACTTAAATTATACTTCATTCTTGGAGAATAATTTGTTATTGTTCTATTAAATGGAAAATGAATCAATATAGGGAAATGATCACTGCCAAAGGATAAGTTTAGTGTTTGCCAAATGAGAGTTGATGCTAAATTAGGTGTACATATTGACAGATCTGGAGCACTAGTGCCTTCATTGGGTGCTGTACGACGTGTAGGTGTGCCAGTGTTTAAAATGCATAAATTGTGAATGTCTACTATGTCTAAAACCTCATTACCATAACAGTTATTGTTTGAACTACCCCAGTATTGATGTTGCGCATTAAAATCGCCTAAAATTAAAAATGGTTTAGGCAGTGTAGAAATTATAGAATTAATTTCATTGAATATTGATATGGATGGATGTGGAATATATGTATACCGAAACATAACATGTATTATCAACTTTAACAGCAATAAGTGAGAAGTTATTACTGTGATTTAAAATAGGTATATGGGTGTGTTTACGCCTTTTAGTGTGAAGAGGATCTTGCTGGTATAATCAAACTCGGAGATTCCAGGCTAGTTTTTTAATTAATTGAAAATAGGTTTACAGTGGTTGCGTGTGATAATGCGTATAATGATCGTTAGCGAATTTCGAATATGAATTGTAACCGTCACAATTTTGTCTCTGGCCCGCTGAAACCTGACGATGCAGTGTTGCTGTATCAAAATACAGTTTGGGCCACAAATTAGTGCAATCGCGCCTGAACATACCCCCGGCCTTGGAAGCACCAGCTTTCAACGTAAAAGTGCGTTATAATTGCAACTAGTCGTCGAATAGGAGGCATTTCTAGCTGCAGTTCAATAGCGTTGCTTCTTCTTTGTCCTTGTTTGATGTCCTGGTATGCATTCCTTCGCCCACTGAGACCAGAAGTGTAGGCGAAACTAACTCGTCGACTCCTTCCTAGCGCGTAAGTCGATGAGCAGGCACCTCTGTGAAGTCATGACCGACAGGCGCGGTAAGTGGACGGCCTGCCGGGAAATGTCCGGGGCTGATAGGAGTAAGGTTGTGCGGATCTGAGGATATAGGACTGAATAGACAGGAAACAAAGGGTTTCGATTGAAGTAATACTGTGCTGAATACATAAAAACGTGTCTCAAAAAATAAATATTACAGCATCGAAATTTGAACTTCCATAAACCACCAAATGAATGAGGCGCATAGGGTGGTATAAAAGCAAAATAAATATAAATATAAAAGTAAAATTAACAATAAAATTTGGCTATTATTTGAAAGGATATTCGCATATTTTGTGAAGCGTGTACTTAAATAAATGTTTTAGGGCTAGTAAATCTGCATTATTAGATGAGTCACTGGCGAGTTCCAAGCGCATCACGCGTGTCTCTAAACTATTAAATGTGCATATGAAGTCTACCCTAGAACGCATAAAGGGAAAGCATGAAGTTATACGATTAGTAGATAAGTCACCCATAAGCGGGGCAAGAGTTCCGCTTTCCAAACGTTCACAAACAATGCAAGGCCACCATGTTTCTCCTAAATTGAAGAGAAACGCCTGTGGGTCTGCGTATAGCAAGAGTTTATAACGAAATAGCAATATAGAAAAAATATGTATAGATGAAATTAAAATTGAACGCTTCTTATCCGAAATGAAGTGAGATGAATTTACAAGTCGACCACCAACGCGAGTTAAATAATTCTTGACCTTAAATGAGTTTAATTTGAAATAAATATGTTTATTATAAAAAATAAGATTACTCTCAAACAACATGTACTTATTTGAAAATGATTCCACTTGATATAAATTAACTAGCGATATGTTTAATTCTCTCAACTTATCAACAATGAGAATATCCGACTGTCGATTTATTTTATGGTGTGTATTATGTATAAAGCATACTACATAAGCGATAGTATGTCTTATACGATTGAGCTGAGAAAACCACACAAATGAAGACAACGTATATTCGTAGTATCGAGTTGCAAAAAAATGAGTCACGCCAGACTTAAACTCGGCTGATTGCGGCGCCTCGGTAAAAATATGCAATTCTATATGTATAGCTTCGCTAGCTATAACAGAGCGCGGTAAACGAGTGGTATTAAGCGCTGATAAACCATTCACAAATAAGATCGACGCGTGCAATACATCGCGCGGCACCTCATTCAACCGTAACACCCGTAACAAACAAGCAGAGTAGCTATGCCGCCTTAAGCGGAGTAGAATGTGAACTAAATGATAAGGTCTTGCTTGCTGAACGTCATTCAGAGACACACCACTGCTGGTGGCGGCACTAGCGTCGTAAGTTACGCGTAGTTTGGTGTTATTATTGTTCTGGCGGTACAAATCATGGTGGAGTGAAAAATAGTGTGGCATTTCGTATGAACTTACCCGTAACATATGTTTTAGTTCAGGGTATTTATAAATTATATTAGCGTATAAGTTTTTATAATTATTATTACGTTTTAATCGTTTTTCTAATGCCAAAACATGATGTTTGGCTTGCGAATATGATTGAGCTAAGGCAGACGACTGTTTCAGCGGTACGGCAAACCTTCCGTCATCATTGCGCGTAGTGATAACAACGAAATGCTCCACGCACGCCCGTTCGTTGTCAGTCTGTGTGTCGGTAACCTTAGGCAACTCCTCTAACTGTGTATTCATTGTTTGTACAACATTACATTGGATAGGAATTTTATTGTTGCGTATGTTAAGATCGATAGGACCCGAAACTATCCAACCTAACTTCGTGTTTTGTAAAAAGGGTCCATTTGACAACCTCATTTTACCTTCGCATAGTAAGTCCCAAAATAAATCCGCGCCTATTAATATGTCAATATTTTGGGACTCATAATAATATGGATCCGCCAGCTGTATATTATCAGGTGTCCTTATAGACTGCGCGCCTTGATTATAAACAGTGGCGGGTAATGTCGACGTAATGCAAGACAACACAAAACATTTTATACGCGCTGAGTATTTACTAATGCGTGATTTGAGCTCAACTTCGCATATCTGTGTTGACTTAGTAATTGTGTTTCCGACACCTCGAATTTCGCAAGTGGACTGTATTAAATTAATATTAAGTAAATCGCATAATGATTTCGATATAAAACAATGCTGGCTACCGCAATCGAGAAGCGCGCGTGCTGTGTGAATATTATTATATTTGTCGACTATCTCAACTATAGCAGTAGACAGCAAAACCGGTTGTATACAGTTAATAGATTGATTTGTGTAATCATTACTATTGCCTATGTGTGCGCTGTTTACCTGTGAGTAACTTATTTGCATGGGGATGGAATCCGCGGGCGGTGGAAAGGTCGCGGGGGACGCGTGCGCAGCGCCCGGGTTCGAGACAGCGGTGTCGACTGAATGCATTGATATAACTTGCGTATGGTCAGTTGCATCGTTATGAATTAGCGTGTTATGTTTTTTAGTGCATTTTCGACACGGCCCGAACCTACACACATCTACCGAATGCCCTAAACGTAGACAGTTCTCACACAGTTTATTATCGCTTATAAATTTTAGTTTAGCGTCTAAGTTAGTGTCTAAAAACCGTTGACATGCATATAAGGGATGATCGGCGTTACACATTAGGCATAATTTTTTTGTGAAAGTGATTTGATGTTGTGGCTTATTGGTGGAAACATTGCAGTGAATTTTGTGTTGTGACGTTTTATGTGTCGCATTATGTGACACATTGTGTGACACATTATGCGACACTGCGCTTTGTTTATTAGAGTTAATGTTCGAATTATGTGATACTCGCAATGTTTCCAACATGTCGGCCCTGTCCCTTATGAACATAAGAAGATCATCTACCTTCAGTGGTGATTTATTGTCAGAAATATGCTTTCGCGTAGTACATTTGTATTGTTCCCACTCGCGTTCTGTGGTTTCATCTAACTTAGACGTAATAATAAAAATAATTAACGTATCCCAGTACTCAGTGGGTTCACCCAATATTTTTAAAGCGCGTAAATTTCTTAAAATAGTATCTGAGAGGGTTCTTAGCGAATGTGGTGACTCTTTAGTGAGTTTTGATATCGTAAATAACGCCTTAACGTGATTATGAACTAACAGACTGCTATTGTTGTATCTGTTGAGAAGCAGTTCCCATGCCACCGCGTAATTACTGGCTGAGAATTCCACGGAATCGATCACTAACTCCGCGCTTCCCTTCAATGACGATTTTAGGTAGTGGAATTTCTGGATATCACTAAGTTCATCAGAATTATGAACCAAAGACAGGAAGCTGTCCCTGTACTCAATCCACGAGTCATACATGCCGTTGTATGTGGGTAGTGAAATAACCGGAAGGGATATTGATTTAGAGACCCTAGTGCTACACTTATTTGAACTGGCAGTGACCTCCACAGACTTAAGCATATACTCCGCGCGTGAAAGTGCATTATAATAGCAATCCTCAAACAAATCTCGTTGTGTTAATTGCGTATCCAAATCACAGTCGCGTACAGTTTTTTCGATTTTTGTTTGAATCTCACTAAACTCTGCAAACAAATTAGTAATTCCTTGTATGCGTAATCGTAGGTCGATACATTTTTGATTAGATAATTGCTCCTTAGTGATATCGTGAACGGAATTTGAGAATCTAGTCACCCTGCCTTTTATGATACCACGCATTTTAATTAAATCCCTAAGATATTCATTGTCGCTTTCTTTATTAGCTACTAGCCTATTAGGGGATCTCTCACGACTAATTTTTACTGATGTAATAGCCTCATCTACACTCATTTTGGTAATTTATAGAAGTACTCACGATTGATCCTTGGATTGTGAAGTCAGCAGCACTAGCTGAGGCACAAGCTGGCTTCGATGCCAAACACAAGCACTGTAACGTAAATGAAGGCACAGTATTACACAATGAAGCGAAAGGGATGGGGTTAGGGAGGATGGCAGACCGTACCGAAATGCGCGTAGTGATGATGTAGGTGGTCATCTGCTGCTACTCCTCCGACGTCTTAACCTCGATCCTGTTGTAGGTAGTTCCTCTTCGCACGTCTCGTAGTCCAAATTCTTTGCGATGAATCGGCTTACGAAGAATCCGTTGGTCGCTGTTTCGTATTTTGCGTATATTATGCGGCGTCGAAGGTCCACAACGTATGTTTACGCCTTTTAGTGTGAAGAGGATCTTGATGGTGTAATCAAACTCGGAGATTCCAGGCTTTTTTAATTATTTTTTAATTACTTGAAAATAGGTTTACAGTGGTTGATGTGTGATGCGTATAATGATCGTTGGCGAATTTCGAATATGAATATATAACGGTTGACATATTGTCTATGGCCCGCTGAAACCTGACGATGCAGTGTTGCTATATAAAATATAATATTTGGGCCACAAATTAGTGCAACTGCGCCTGAACAGGGTGAATGTTGAGGGATGCCTGATTAATATGGCAACCCCACCGTAACCATCAGCTCTATCTTCTCGGAGACAGGCATAACCAGGTATCTTAAATAAAGATACCGGTTTCAGCCAAGTCTCTTGAAGAGCACAGATAAAAGGATAAGTATTAATTAAATAAAACAAATCAGATTTTTTGCTAGTTATACTGCGGCAGTTCCACTGGAGAACTTTGGCTTGTTTGTCCATTATTGTTGTTGTTTAAGATATTAATAAATGCATTAGTAAGTGAAGCAACGTTGGACGGTTGTAAGAAGTTACACTGGGTTAATAAATTTAAAAGAGCTATTATTATTTCAGAAATTGATTGTTTCGATTCATTTTGCTGTTTATAACCACATCTGCTGGAGCAGGTGGACTGTAGTCTTTAATTAAATCAGCATATTCCTCACGATTAAAACCATATGTTGGTTTTGGTGGTTGACGAGACTTTTCTATAACTGTTTTTTTATATGATCTATGCATAAGTGTGGGAATTGTATAGTGATTTTTATCCTGGTTAAAACTAGTAGAATTATTTTTATTTACTGGATTAGATCGAACTATATCAGCATATGGTTTCATAGCAGGAGGGTGTAATTTACTGGCTTCAGCATAAGATACACAGCTTTTTGCCATTGTCTCTTTAATAGCCTTTTGTCTAGACAGTTCTGGACATTGTTTGCTATTTGCCTGGTGTCCACCTTGGCATATACAGCAAGAAAAGTTATCTTCTTCAACAGAACAGGATTCACCAGTATGGCCCTTGCCACATTTATAGCAACGTGGTACAGATCTACATTGGTTCTTAACATGTCCATATCGACAGCAATTATAACACTGAATAGTGGGGTAAATATATAAATCAACAGGTATGGAATTATAACATATAAAAACTCGTTTGGGTAGTACCTGTCCATCAAAAGTTATGACAATGGTTTCTGTCTCTATGAATTCAGATATCCCATTAACAAATGTTTTTCTCTTCAGACGTCTAACTTTTAATATTTTACCACATCCTAATGGTACAGAAATATTTTCTATGATTTCCTCATCAGACCAGTTAACAGGGACACCCCTTATTAATCCCATTCTAGTTAAGTTGAAAGCTGGTATGAAAGCATTATAGTTATATTTCTTTAAATCTCCACTATCTATGAAGGAATTTGCATCCTTATATTGTGAGAATGATATGGATAATCTATTCCTGCCAATTTTTTTAAGACTACCATCAACAACAACATTTTTGTAAAAGCTTTTTTTAAGATAACGGCCAAACTCTATTGGGTGAAGCGTAGTTTTATCATCCGGTGAAGACAGAATCTTTTGAATATGAACTATGAATGGAGCAGCATCATGGGACTGGTAGTAAACTCTACTAATAGAAGTTTGTGGGCGAGTTGAATCATTATCCTGATTATTTATTAAACCAGGGTTAGAAGTTTCTTGTTTATCCTCATTATTTACTAAAGATGTATTGGAAGTTTCTTTTTTTTCATTAAAATCATCGCATAGACATTAATATTTATTTTTACTAGTGTCAGCACCTCGATTCCTCCTACGTTTTTTATTGCAATGCTTACAAATATTCGCTATTGCAGATTTACGCTTACGTTTTGTACCCGAATGATCAGATAAATTAAATGAACAGTCTGTGTCCATGGAATCTTCATTATTACTTATAGTTACGTGTAGAGCGACCTCGGGGGCGGTACCCCCGGGGTCCTCCGGTGGGTCCATATATAATAAAATACAGAGACTTACCTAATATTGCTGCTACTAATAAACTAATGAATAATAGATAAATGAATGTAATGAAAAATACACTATTTACAACTTATCTGATCAATATTCAAATATTAATAATTTACTACTCAAAAAATACGACCGCCAAACTTTGTGTTTCCCGCCCTTTTTTTTCAGAAATTTATTTATAAGTCAACCATTGGCTGTTAGTATTACCACAGATAACATAATATGCTATTACGGTACTACCAACTAGATGCAACTTTCAGGGTAAATTTAAGTTTAATCCTGATTTATACTTACTAATGATTATATCGTAATTAACTACCTATTTTAGAATATTCCAAAAATATAATAATTAATATAGTCTACTAAGAGTTATTTTGTTTAAACTACAGGCTGACTTATATTTCCTTAGTCCCAGTAAGTATACTTTATGACAATAATGTGAAATTTTCATTCTAATGAAGAATGTTAATAGGTATGCCAAATCGGTTGAAAGTTTGGTATAATAAAGCTTGTATGTATACAAATATAACAGTTTTTGTTTTAGTCAAAAATACCCATTAGTTTTGATTTTATAGGCATTTAAACTTACGATAAATTTCGAGTCCCGTTAACAGTCACGTGACATGTGACGTCATTTTACAAAGCTCCGCTCCGCTTAGTAGCGAGTCGCCGAGTTTGAGCAGTATTTTGTTTTGTTTTCATCCGCGCATTACGTTAATATTTAAATATTAATGAATTATGCAATAGATAAAGGAGTCGAAAAAAGGCAATCGGATGTTCTGCCTAAAATAGATGCACTAATGGTTGCCCATTATTTATCAACAAATAGTGATTTCGTTGCCGCCGAAATGCGAGGAATAAAAATGCAAAGTTAAGTTAACTCTTCTTGCTATTTAGAAAATTATTTATCTGTTTTAAAGTGTTCTGTTAAAAAAAATACCCAACTGATGTCGTATTGCAAGTATTCTAACTCAAATAGGCAGAAGTACCAAACTTTAAAGTTTTACATTATAGACAACAAATGTGTGTTAGCAGAGTATTATGTTCCTTGTGTGTTAGAGTTTTATGTCTATAGGTACATATGTAGATATGTGAATATAGGTACCTCTTAGTAAATTTAAGTAAACATATATATTGATTTATTGCAAATTTAGTGGGTTGAACAGATGACCTTTTTTAATTTTGATTTGTCTTATTAATAGGCCGTTTTATTTATTACTTATTCCAGGTCTGCAAGAGACAGCTTTGGTGATGATGCTATCGGTTACATACAAGTAAAAAGAGCAAGTGATGTTTGTACGGTCAAATGTAGAATCACGCGCGAACACCGCGTACGTACCACACGTTATCGTTGCAGTATAGAATGTAATGAAAAGGACCACGAAATTTTAAATATAACTTGCGAAGATTGTTTCGCTAACAGAGGCTGTAAACATTGTCGAAGAGAGAACTCAACGACTATTAAATTTGTTGGATGTTTTTGTGGTTATAATAAAAATAACTATTACTTTAGTGGTTGTATTTGTACATTTCGACACAACACATGATTTCCTAGTATTTGGTTTGGTTATTTTTGAAGGTATTTATAATTTCTAATGAAACGTAAGACGACTCCGTGCTGAGAGCGCGACCGGGCTGAGCGAGTGTTGTACTATGACGTCACACGGTCACACGAGTCCGCATTGCATGTTTACTTCTATAAATCAGAAACTAATTGACGTATTGAAGAAATTCTTTCACTTATATTTTTTTATTTTTGACAGAATATGAAGAGCTAATATTCAAAATTAGTTAACATTCTTCATTGTAGAACAAAACCTGCATGTAGAAAAACCTACGCCGTTTGTACGTAAAACCTTGTTATTTTATAAATATATATATCATTACACGAGAGAAAGTAAACACACAAATCAACAAACTACAACACACATTTCGCCTTGTTAAAGTTCGACGATTTTATTACATGTAAAGTATACATTATAGACAATAAAACGATATTTTTCTTTGTATTCCATTTATTTCACATGTATAGTATAATAGTAGTAGTAGTATACAGATCGGTACTTAAATAAAATGGTAATAAATGCTCCTGCCTTTTTCTGTAGGTTTATTGTATACATGATGTATTTAATTGACCAACCATAATACAAGTCTATCTAGGAATGTCTAAATAGATGCATATTGGCTCTGTGGGTGACAAAGTAAGAATACAATATATATATCACCACCAACCCACCTTAAGTTCTAAATATTACACATAAGTTAATTCTACTTTGATTTTCTAGTTGTTATGACAACTACTAAATCAAAGTAGAATTTCATCAGTGCAAGAATAGGGAATAGAATAATTTTAATTTTAAGCACTTATGTAATAAGTCCTATGACGAGATGTCTAAAAATTTTTCACATTAGATTGACTTAAGTATATAGGGTAGGTATGTTTTATGCACTTAAGTTATTGACATTTATCTGTTTTTATATCTTAAATAAATATATTACACTGGAATGTTTCGACAGTTATTCACAAATAATAACTTCCGCTTAGTATATATTTTACGATCTATCCTGTTTGTACACAAATATAAGAACCTGTATTTTATAGTTTCTAAAGTTTATAGGACCTCTGTCAAGTCACTCTATTTAAACCAAAACAAATCTAAAATTTACTTTATAGATATAGCGCCATTGCATAGATGCCGAGCTCAGCTCCGTCGCTCAATTACTACTTCTTTAGTTATATAATTACTATACCATAATTATATATATATATATATATATATATGTATATAATAATTTTTTACTCAACTAACACTTACTCTAATTTACCTGAGATTCTTTTTGAATAACATTTCCATAAAGCATCTCTGTAAACGACCGCCTGTGCTTCTGGGCTCTTTGCATTGACTATTCCGCGCCCAACAACCACAATATCTGCACCATTTTCTAAAATTACTTTTTCTGGTGTATTGTATACTTGACCCAGATCGTCCTTAGCACTTTCGAGTTGTACGCCAGGAGTTAATTGTAACAGCCCAGGATCTTTAAATGTATCCTTATTTTGGCATACAAAACCAGTAATTATATTTGGATTCTTTGAAGCCATGTTCACAGTTTCTTCTCTGTATTCTGCAGAAATCAAATTTCCCTGTCAAAAAAAATAATTTGTTTACATAACCAGGTTCTAAGTTTAAATTTCGTTTCATCTAAGAGCTAAGATTCTATTTATACCTCACTGCTCATTTCAGCTAGAAGAAATACACCACGGTTTTCTATTCCAGTACATGCACTGCTCAGAGCCTTCAATATACCCTCTCCAGGTAAAGAATGAGATGTCACACAATCTGCCCATTCTGAAATCTTATATAACCCTTTTTGATATTGTAATGATACTGTGTTACCAATATCCGCAAATTTCCTGTCCTCCAGAATCAAAAAATTAAATCTGTCCGCTAATTGTTTAAGTCGAGAAATGAAATCAGAAGTAAAATCTTCTATAATATCAACATGGGTTTTCACTAAGCATATGTATTCTCCTACTTTTTCAAGAAGTTCGAGAATTTTTACAGTTGATGTCAAATCGACAGATAAACATAGGTTTGTTTTTTTAATAGACATAATGTTAAAGAGTTGTTTTGCTACTAGATTCTTTGATAACTCTGCTCTCTTCTCGAAAGGTATTCGAATTCTGTCCTCAAATGAATCTGCAAACAATGAGTATTATTAAATTGTTGGAAATGGACATCAACAAAATAACTTATATCAAGGAGTTGATATAATAAATGGTAAATCTTATATAGAAATCAGATATATGCACTTACCTTTAGTTACTGGTGCTTTAACTTCTCTTAAATATTTGTGAATCTTTATAGACATTTCTTTTGTAATCTTTTTATGTTTTTCGAGAATGTCAATTAACTCAGTCATTGTAAATAGTGAATCAATATATACATTATTGGATTCAAGATTCATTCTGCCACCTTGTTCTCTGTCTAAAATAATTATAGCATTTTTAACTATTAACCCTTCTTTATTTAAATCTTTGACTGTTTCTAATACACTAGAACCAGAAGTTACTACATCTTCAATTATAAGACAAGTTTCACCCACTTTATAATGACCTTCTATCATTTTCTTAGTACCATATGCTTTTGCCTCTTTTCTTCGCAATAGCATTGGTTTCTTTACCTTAACACTAAGTAAAGTAGCAATTGGTAGAGCTGTGTAAGGGACTCCACATATGTGATCATATTTTTTATGGTTACTAACAATGTCGTAAAGCAGGACTGTTAATAGTTCCTGAAAAAAACAAGTAGATAATTAATATTTAAATAATGCAAAAATAGCAAATTATATTCCTGAAGTGTATTCACTTTTAGAATTGGATCTGAAATATTAAAATATTGAACATCTGTTTATAACACAAGTATGTTTATACAAGTCAAATAAATTATTAAAATCATATTTCATTTCAATTCTGAATAATAAAAAAATAATTTTATTATTGTCGTTAATTAAATTGATAATATAGCCGGTCCCTTTACACATTATTATTATAAATATTTTGAATACAATAGATACTCTATAAAACACCACATGACAGCCACAGTACCAGTCTCAATAACCTGGGAATAGATATAATATGAAACACAACTAATGTCGAATCTGACGTCGTACAATAAATTCAAGTTAATATAAGACAGTATTAGATACAACTTATTAGTAAGAATATTAATTTTTCACATACCATTACGTCCGGATAACTAACTATAACCCTCAAATCAAAGTAAACAGGTGTCATAGTTCCACTATATATATATATATATAAACTCCCCGAATTTAACTGCATCTATATCAAACAACTTTATTGCTAGTTCTTCTAGTGTATTATAAGCCATTGTTATTTGATTAAACAAAATTACGATAGTAAACAACAATTATATTATACCACGTGTGTATGTGCGTTAGCGCAGTACTAAGATGCTAAGAATGTTCCATTCAGTTCCATTCATTCAGGGGAGGGGAAGAACAACTCGTAACAAAATATAGGACATCTATGATTTTCGGGACGAACTATTTAACAGTCAGCATCTATCTTTTGTTTCTGTCCATCGGTATTACCACAGATAACAATTCGTAGTCGCGATTGCGTGTAGTCGTGTCCACTATATTTTATTTCCATAAAAATATTAAATTTAAATAGAATAAATATCAGTTGCGCTTTTGTCCAATAAGCCAGTATAACAAGACCTATTTAATAGAAGTTACGGTTCAAGATAGTTTGGATATTTCTGAACGCTTAGTATAAGATCTTTGAACACAAGACAATTTTAGTAATTATTAAAAATGCCAAAAACAATCCGATCGCCTCCTAACCGTGATCAAAAGACTACGATGTCGGATACAGATCTTACTAAAATTGACCATGACAACACATCGCCTATCACTCAAAGAACAAAACGGCGAAGAGGATCTCCTGCAAATAAAGAACATTCCGAAGATATAAAAAATATGATGTCTAGCTGGCAGGAAAAACAAAATCGGATTTTAAACAAATTAGTATCTGATGTTGCCGAAATTAAACTCCAAAATTCACAAATACAAGAATCAAACAAGGAAATTGAAAAAGCACTGGAATTTATTAGTTGCAAATACGAAGATATGAGGGAAAAAATGGAAAAATTAGAATCTGAACGTAAAACCCATATGGCTCAGATAGCCTACTTGGATACAAGGGTTGAAGACTTGCAAAGGGTTATTAAAAAATCCTCCATAGAAATTAGAAATCTACCGAAAGAGAAGAAATTAGACAACAAAAAAGAGATGTGCAATATAGTACAATCTTTTCCTGAACGTAACCGTTGCAGAAAGTGACATAAAGGATGTAATTTTATTAAAGGGCAAAGGTAACAATAACACAATAGTTACGGAGTTTACAAGAAACATCCTAAAGGACGATATTGTTAGAAATGCTCGAATATATAACAGACAAAATCCTAATAAAAGACTAAATTCTGGTGATATTGGTCTAGCTGGAGAATCAAAGCCAATTTACGTATCTGAAGCGCTTACCAATAGGAGTCGCACACTATTTTCTCTGGCTCGTGATGTAGCAAAATCGGAACAGTACAAATTCTGCTGGACAAGAAATGGAAAGGTATATATTAGGAAAACACAAGAATCGTCACACATTGAAATAAAGGATGAACTTCAACTAAGCAGTATCAAGAATGTCATATGACTAGTCTCTGTAGGCAACGAGGGGAACTATAAATGTCATAGGTTAGAAATACTTCATTTTATTTTTATTTATAACGTAAAACCTACATTACAAAATACATTATATAATGTTTCATATATTTTTATATACACATACACCGAAAAGTACTATACAACTACTCTATTTACATACATTCAAGTATCTGCTATGGGAAGCCTACTGTTAGTTTTGTTAAAGTCCGTAAAAATTCTTTATAAAATTCGATTTCTTAAATAATAATAAAATAAATTCCAACATAGATAAAATATCAACAGGCATGTCATATTTATGCGATCCTGAAACCTGTAAAACAATAATAAAGTCAAAACAGGATTATGATTATAATATTAAAGTCTTGA